CTTAGCTTTAAAATGACATCGCTGAAACATGTTAAAGGAGTATGAGCGGAGCTTTCAGAAGTAAAAAGTCCTTAAGTGTCCGCTTATTGCAGGTTTTGTGCTACAAAATGCCTTAATATTGGTGTCCGCGTTCGCTTAACAGAGGTGTCCGCTGAATGCAGGTTTATTTTACAGTAAATGTGGGAAGAAAATTTTGGGACTTCGGCTGGTGTCCACTAATAGAGGGTGTCCGCTTAGTATTTATGGGGTCCGCTTAATACAGGTTTCACTGTACATGGATCAAACGGATCGGAGGAAGAAATTTGATGACATTCTTTTGGCAATACCGATTCCTCTGTAACTGGTATTTCCTCTGGGCCGCTGCAGTCGACAATGTCAAATTATTCATGTGGTCTGTTGACTTATATCTAAATCGATAATTTAAGCTAATTTATGCAGTGCGAATAGTTTATTATAAAGTTTCAAACCTTACAGTGCAAGACTGAATTATGCGAAAGCTTTACGAATAATGGCTATACATAATAGGCTATACATGATAGATTAAGAAAAACCTATTTAGGACACTCATATTGAAAACCGCTCTACTGCATTTACTTACAATATTATGAGTATGTTAGTATCAATGTTAGTTATTTGTTTGCAAATTATTTTTGTACAAACAATAAAAAAGGCAAAAAAAGAACCATAGGAGTATCCTTGCAGCCATTCAGATCGCGAGGAAACGCTTCTAGTGAGATTGCGTGACTGTTCAAAGAGACAAGTCGAGCACCATCCTAACTTATAGAGAAGTAGGAATCAGACTTCAGTATCCGTATTCAAAAATGACAATTATATCGTCCGGATATTCCTAGACCCTCCTAGTGAATGTTACCCAGGAGTACATCAGCAGCTAGTGTGGAAGGTAGATACCCTCAAATATTGGTGTCATTGGCGAATACTGATCACGAATGGCCGCTTATCTGTAATATTGCATTTTTTCAAAGTCCTCCAAATTCTACAACATCAACTTAAGGTCCTGAAGAAGCTCTGCAATAGCGGTTACAGTGGCAAATCTTTGGAGTGCGTGACTCGTAATGTTGCGTGACCAGCCAAAGACGCGCGGGGCGCTGGGCTGGGTATTTTACTTTGGCACCACTGCCGGTTGCGAGGATTCACATTTCACACTCACAGACGAGGGAAAAGCGAAAGCATTGAAATCTGCTTGATTTGGTGGAGGGCCGGATTCAGTACTTCAAGTTTCAGTCGAGTGAAGTGTTTTAGTGAGAGGTAGGCCTTCTTCATTGAATGTTTGAGTGATTCAATGGGAAACGATCTGCGTCTGAAACAACTGAATGCTTTCAAAACGCTCGAGTCGTACGCTTGTCTCAAGTTATGAACACAAAAGCATTGATTGTATTATTCTTCAAAGAGTTATTGTCGAGGCTTAGTAAGCCCTCTCTTGTATTATTATCTGCTGATTGTAAGGGCACCGTTAACTGAAATACTTTTCGCATCCCTCGTAGTTAAACGAGCTTCATAACTAGAGCAACTCACAAGTCTCCCATTTTTGAAGACCCTGGTGTAAACATGAGTCGGTGACATTGATTACATCAATTTCCTGACTTAAGGTTTTTTAAACCTTTCACTTATGTATCAGTTTGTAAATTCGAAGTAACAGATGGGCTATCAGCCGGCGAGCAATTGGCGATGGCAAGCGGTGAGAACGTTCATCTTCATCAAAAGTTCATTTTCCCTGGCATGAGAATAAATTTTTAAAAATGAACCTTGACCTCTCAAGGTAAGCTTGAAATATTCGTGCAGCAAGGGGGAATTAGCTGGCTAAACTCCATGGATAATCAGTCCTGGGTTCATTAAAACCGTAATTTGTCAGGATAGTCTTTTGACTGTGAATTTATTGATCTTGTGTGAATTTACCCTAGGTGCCACAGGTTTTTCTTGCGCGGTTTACTATGGAACGCCAGAACTGTCTTATGATACTTTTTTATTATATTGGGTGGTTATGTCATTATATTTAGTACTTATGTTATTATATTCGGTGATTAACTCATTATACTCGGTGCTTATTCCATTATACT